GTTGGAATAAACTACCCGGGAATGTAAAAAATCTGCAAAATTACCGTTTGTTTTGGGGGAACTATAACTCGCATTTTTCATTCAGAAAAACTCACAAGTTTTGGGTGCCAAATCCACTGATGGACTATATCGTAGCGATGGCGTTTGTGGTCTCTGAACACTATGCCAGTCTCACCAGGGACAATTTCTTTGGCCAACATCGACAGCTGTTCTTCGGTGCTTCTGCTTGTTCCAGCCCCAACCTCATGAAAGAAATTGGCAACTGATAATATCCGATACCGTGCAACCCCTCCCTTTCTTGACTCCCGTCATTTCATGGACAGCAGTTTTTTCTCCTGAACCATCCAAACTATAAAAAACCGCCACCAACTTTATCTTTGTTCATTTTTGACAGGAGTTTTTTTTACTGCTGGCCGGATTTGTGTTCAACGCTTCCCTGACAATGCCTGTAATGTGGCATTAAGTTCACTTATTATTATTATTATTGTGCTTTTTTCCCTAGCAAACTAAACGTCCTCCGGTATTCATTGACAGTTCCCCCAATGTGGTTGTACACGATGTTGATGCCTTCTCATGCTTAAGAAGTCTCCCTTCCTTATATTACTTCCTATTGATTTGGCGATTTAAGTCGCGAGGACGTGGGATATTCCAAAAGTATTAAAATAGGCTTATTAAAGCCTATTGTGGGGTGCATTTTAGATCTTGCACACTGTCTTCCTCTTAGATGAACAAAAATTATAGCGGAAAGGAACCTCCCATCGCTGATACCCACGCCACGCTGGGAACCATGTGATCCCGGCTCCCGAGCGGCCAGCACACGTGTACATTGAGCTTCGAGGATAGCCAATCGCAGTCCCTCGCATACTCACCGTCACCCAATCAATTGATCAAGCTGACACTGCCTGACCCTCACGCCACGCGTATTCACTCGCGCCTACATTACCTTAGCGATCAAACGCGCACGCAAACCCGCAGCCATTCGCTCATCAGAGACTCCGACTATCACGTAGTTTCTGTACAGATTACATAACGTTTACTCGTATCTTCCCCCCCCCGCTCTGAGGTGGACATATGCAGTGATTATTGTGGTTCTCTTGGTACAAGCACTACTCAGATCGCTTCAACGTCCTTAACGATGAAGACTTCTTTGTTCGGGCAGGCCCTTTTTAGTTCCGTTATGAGGACACTGGGATCAGCAGTTTGTTTTGGCGGACGGCATACAACCGTAAAGTACTATTGGCCAGGCGTACTTAGCGGGAATACTTAGAAGCAAATATTTCACATCTCTTGTCGTGGGCTGTTGCTCGAAACCTGTGAGTAGATTACAGTCAACATAGACAGTGCCCCATCCTCATCGGCTTTTTCTCTGAAGGGTCGATAACCTCTGATAGATATCGCGTACTCTTCACTGGTACCTCAAAGTCTTGTTTCTATCAGGGTTATGATATTTTGTTTGTGAGCGCTCGTCGACTAAATTTCTTGGTTCATCCGCTTTGCCAAGCGGGTTCTGGACATTGGAGTACATTACTTTCAGTGTCCTGAATACGAAGGGTGCCGGCCACTGGAAAAAAGATCGAACTGTTCCCGCCCCTTCCCCTTTCTTCCTTTCTTAATTCATCCTGACCTTCCATTGCTCGTGTCTTCGCATTTGCTCAGAATTTCGCCAAAAGATACTTATCTGGGGAATCATGAATAGCCATTCTGCCTTCCAGGAACCGTAAGACCTGCACTTCGTTTTCACCGGTGAGTCTAACAGGCTCTGATGACAGCTCACGCGATACCTAACATAGTAGCATATTCAACATGTTGAAGCACAGCTTGAAGGCTCGTCGCTGTGTCAAAGCCTGGATAGTCTCTTGACCTGAAACTTTTAGACAAGACGGAAATATCCATTTCATCACTGGAAGCATAACAGGTCATTCGCATGTTTAATATCATTGGGGAACAGGAGTTCACTCTTCTGTGGCGTCTGGCTTAGTCCACAATGCTTACCTTCGAAGGAATTATGCTGAGTAAGTTCTGGCATAACATTACAAAACTAAAAGGTAAGCCGAAACGTTACGTTGAGTGAGGTCTAAATAATACGCAGGGACGATCAGAAATGTTATGTCGTTGTGTCAGTCAGTCAGTGTATTTGAGAGAAATAGGCTTACGTCTTTGAACTCCCTATTTATACATACAATATCGATGAACAAGCAAAAATGTGAAGTTATTACAGTGATAAGTGAATGCGGATACTGATTCACACATGTCACTTGTCTCATGGCTTAAAAGTCACATAGTTCGCTTGTTGCTGCTGCATATATCTGTCAGGCCGACATTTAAATATCTCCACAGATTGAGACACGACAATCGTCTCGGGCAGAATATTCCACGGTTCCACGACGCGGTTGGAGAAGAAACATTTTCTTAGAATTCAGTATACCCTGGGGCACACGCAGCTTGAAGGGATATCCCCGGGAGTTAGTTGTAGTGGCGAGTTGGAAACAGCCATCGTACCGAAGGGCACACTCCCAGCCACGCACCATACGGAAAATCTGTATCAATCCTCCTCGCAACTGCCTATATCTCAGAGGATAGAGATTAAGGTTAGTTAAACGGATCTCGTATGGCAGTGCACCTTGACCTCTAATTAGTTTTGTTGCTCGCCTCTGCACCCTTTCAAGCAGACTGTAATCCTGATGTGTCCACGGTCTCCAGGCCTGAATTGCGGCCTTACAAACGTGCCGAAGACTTTGGAGAAGCAGTCTTCATCGAAAACAGCGAATGCCCGCTTGATGGCATATAGCATTGAAGTTGCGGCCTTGGCCGCCTTACAACATTGTATAGAAGGCTTTAGGCTATCTGCGACCCAGACTCCGAGATCTTTCTGCGTTCTGATTCTCGAAGTGACATTTCGTTCAGATGGTATTGCCGCGTACCTACGGGTCTGATTTCCGAGGCGCAGTATGGTACATTTGTTCAAATTGAAGGACAAGAGCCATCTGCCGGACCACTCGTCCGATCGACAAAGGATTTCTTGGAAGTTGGTTTAATCGGCTGCATTCTGGATGACTTTCCAGATTTTTATGTCGTCCGCAAACATGGCACTATCACAGTCCAACCCGTTAACGCAATCAATGATGAACAAGAGAAGGGGGGTTGGCGTTGTGGGAGTCCAGTCTCCGTGAATGTGCGCCTTGATTGCTGTTGTTCTACGCAGACAATTTGAGAGCGACCGACAAAGTAATCCTCGATCCATTTGGGAGGTTTTCGCCGATGCCGATGACTTTCCACTTGTGCAGTAGACGCTGGTGCGGAACACTGCCGAAAGCCTTCCGGAAATCAATATAGGCCACATGCACAGTCTGTTTTGCGTCCGGTGCGCTTGTCCAACTTTGCATTGTATATAGCGAATTCGTTACATATGATCTTCCCCTACGGAATCCACATTGTGCGTTGGACAAGAGGTTGTTGCTTTCCAAATAAGCCATCAACTACTTTTTTATTGTTTTCTCCATCACTTTACAACAGATTGATGTCAGACTGACGGGTCTGTAGTTCGTTGCAAGAGCACCACTACCGTTTTTGTAAAGGAGTGCAATGTGGGCCGTCCACCAGTCTGTGGAAAGAATTCGGGCATCAAACGATTTTTGGCACAGAGAAGATAGTGGTTTGGCCAGGTGATTAGCAAGCTCGAAGAGCAGCTTTGCTGGGATCTCGTCCAGACCGAAAGATTTACATTCCTTCAAGCTTTTTAGTTCTTCCGAAATAGCTTTTCCTCGTAACACATTCTTTTCGATTGTGGGATCTGCCATGTTCTCAGAACGAGATGGAATAAAGTCTGCTTTTCTTGTGAGAACGGATTGGAAAAATTGAGAAAAATGCTCAGCTCTATTTGTGCTGTCCGATATCTCCAAACCGTCATCATTCTTCGTAACAGGAATGAGATTCCTGTTACGAATACTCTCCGCAAATAGCTGTAGAGTAATTTGGGATTTTTAACGGCTCGGTGGAGCAAATTACTCTCGAAATCCCGTCGCCATCTGAAAATCAGGCTTTTCACCTTATTTCTTCGAACTTTATATTCTGTAAATGCTGCATTGTTGTTGTTTTCGCGAAATTTCTCCCACAACCTTCCTTTCTTGTTGATCCCCTTTTTGAGTTCTCTTGTTAGCCACTGAGGGCGGTGGGATGTTCTAGGCTCCTGTAAAAATACTCTAATCATTTTTAAATTTTGGTATGGAGTTTTTTTCACCCCACGCGAGTCATTTTTCTCAACTGACTACTAACTCAGAAACTATGAATTGCATTTTGCAAAAGTCCTGCCTATCTCGTCTAAAATTCGCATGTAAATGTATGTTTACTTGCTTTGATGGGGCCGCGACGGGTCTTTAATAAAAAATTACTATCATAAGGAACAGTGGCTCCTCACTTGATGCAGCACCCGATCCTTGAATAAATTCCAGTCGTCGTTAACGTTTCCGGAGAAGAGAACATCCCAGTCTATTTGTGATGCCTCAGCTTTCATTTGGCAAAGGTCCCCTTTCCATATATTTGGTCTCGTATCGTCTTTTGTATACGGTCCAGAATAGAGCTTGTACTCCCATAAAAGTACTGCATGATCACTTCGACCAAGCGGGGTTAGGTAGAACACCTCGTCTATACTGTCTGGATCTTTGGTGAAGACGAGGTCCGGACAACTGGCCTTTCAAGTAAAGAACAAACCGAACGCAAACTTTAAAAGCATCGTTGGAATCGTTGTTGAACCAGTAATCAGCCATGAATTCGATAAACAAGTAAAGCGCAGTTCTTGGTAATCTGATGCGTTTTGTAGGACTGGAAGTTTTCTGAAGAGATCTGAAAGGCTTCGTGCGTTCAAAATGAACTTTGGCGGACACCACAAATTAATGGAAATACAGTATAAACTTGAAAACCCATAATCTGCTTTTATTTTTTAGGTGTTGAGGGAGACGATGGCAGGAAGTTACATTTATTATTTACTCCTTTTTCGTTCGCATATGGGAAAAATCTACCTTCCAGATGTTCGTTTCCAGCTGTTCAGGTGAACCAGGTTGAGAGAATATGAGGTACTCGAACAGTATTACAGTATGATCAAGACCAACAGTGGCGGGGAAGCTTGTGCATCCAGCGCACTCCTTATCTCAAGTCAGTAACAGATTAAAACAGTTTGAAAGTTGCTCTTACCTTACACTCGTTCCGAGAGTTGTATTCTGGAAAAGTAGTTTGTCCGCTGCCAATTCAAGCAAATGTTGTTTGAATGTGTTCTGTGGACCCAAAGCTATCCAAGCTTGTCAGCCGACTTTGGGGGCGTTCAAGTCCCCAACAATAAGGACAGTCCTTTCCGAACAGGGCTTGTTCAGTTCCAATAGGAGAAGGTGATCGTGTTCAGCTGTCTGGCTTAGGGAACCTAAATGGGTCATCTGAATAACGGAAGATCTTTAGTAACTTTCGCACCTTGAACTTTGCTTTATTTGAATAGCACACTTGACGCTGCTTCAGCGTGCCTGTACCCTAGAATTATCATCTGTCGCCAAGGTACATAATTCTTAAGCTGATGCTTTAACGATGAGCCTGGCCGTCTTTGACTCTTTTTTCCTATTACTTGGTACCATTCGTGTTGCACGTATTGCCCTTGTCTTCCCGTTTTTTCCTCATTACCCACCTTTCCTTGCTATCGTATGGTATATGCTGACCTCATTTGACTACAGTTGCGGTTCTGCACTGGTCTCACCACTTAGTTTACCTGCTTCTAATTCGCCTTTTGAATATCGTTTTCTTTGCACTCCTGGTCTCGCTCGGTTTTGGCCACAACAGGACCTCCACTGTCGTAACAATGGCAGCCGCCACAGGGGGCAGCTAGGGAGGGATTATTCAATGACCACCGACTTTCTCCAATTAAACTATGAGATTTATTTTGCCTTCAGTTAACCCCACAGCTGTTAGACATGGAGCAAGTAACCATTAACCTTTTTTTATTCGATCACTTACAGGAATCATTTCCCTTCGTCGGATATAGGGCTCGTTCCTTCCCCCTTTTTTTCCCGGTTCATTTTCTTTGATCGTTTTTGCTTCTTCGAGTAAATGATATACCATTACTGCAAACTAACGTGTCTGAAATTGCACATGACATGCAGTGTGTGCGGACACCGTCTTATCCCAGACCGTGCGATCTGCTAAAGTCCCTCGTCTCCTTCCCTTCGGAGTTTGCTTTAACTAGCTTTCAACCCGAAACTCTTTACTTTCTTTTTACTCATTCTTGTCGAACCAAAGCTTAGCCGTCTGTTGCAGGTGTATGCTTTTAGCGGCTTTTGACTCGCGACATATGGCACAGTTACTCCTTATCGAACACACTTGGGTGCTGTAATACACGCCCATACTAGCCACTATAGGCGTTTTTTGATATTTTGATATTTATTGACCGCACTCTAACTAGAATGGCCAAGTAGTTCGATTCATGTTGATGGTAGATAAATGACTAGGTTTGTGGCTCTGGAATAAAACTATAGACCGGAGAACTGCTGCAATCGTGCACAGCGGGTGCGAAAGATTTCCAGTTATAGACCTAGCGGCGTTTAATGTTTTCCATGCTTGGAAATGACCACTTTAGTCCACGACTTTTTGAACGGATGATAGAAGCGACAAATATTTAAGTAAATCAGCGGCTCACTGGCCCACTGCTTCTGCAAGAACCTTCTATTGGGGCCCCCTCTCTCAGGCATGGTTTTTGGGCATGTGCATTTAAATCTTTATATAAATGGTCATGTGGTGCGTTAAACGATACCTTGATCCGCAATTTGGATTTTGACTGACCGCACCTCCAACGCGACCGGCCAATTCAAACCCATGCAGGCAAGTCTGGGTCCTTCAAAATCTATCCTAATATACTTCTTAACTTTTAAATTTCTGAGCCTCTTATATCTAGATCACACAGTCAGGAGTCTCGATTTCTCCTAGTTAAAGAAATCTGAACCACCCAATAAACCTTCTGCCCGTTTGCCGGATTGAACATGCGCACAATTTTCCGCATTTCTTTAGTACAACCAAATAAACTCAGTACTATGTGCTAATCGCACTTCAAGTGTTCGCCTTCCATTGCGTTGCGTTTGCCGACTCCCACTCGAAATTTACTAAATAGATATGCCAGTTATATAGACGGTCGAATTCACAACTAGAGATCCGCCAAACGTTTGTTCTAACGGCATATGCCACGCTTAGGTTAACCTGGCTGTGTTGCAAAAGAAAATTAGGTTACTTTATCGAAATTTTTCACCTGATCAGTGCGGGGCACATTCAAATCATAAGAAGGGACTACTAAAAAGAACGTTAGGGAATCGTTCTCCCGGTCAGGCGTATAGATTTCCATGTGAACCTTGGCCCTAAAGGCGAATTTTGTTTAACCATTGCATACAGTTAGTATCCAAGCGCGTCAATCTTCCCTGATTCATGCAGGAAATTTTTTCCGGAAGCCTTGTTTGATCTAAACTCGGTTCCTTGGACGATTTCAATCTAACCTAATTGCTTTTGACGGAATAGAATTGAGACCGCCTATTCTAGATTCATCTGTTATTCGGATTCATAGTTGCCCTACCCGTTTGGCGGGAAGTTCGTCCCGAGGAGCCGAAGCTGTCTGGTAACTCAAGGCCTTTACGGCCTCTCGTGGGCCAGCAGATATCACCAGGCGCAAAATCCAAGGCAGTGATCAGAACTATGAAAAATTCCCCACCTGAAGCCCAGAATGCCTCGTTTCTGCAAGCAAACTCCCCATCAAACACAAAGCTCTCGCATTTAAGGCCCATATGACGGGGCCCTGACCTGCTTCTACGCCCGTTTGATTTGCCCGCTTTTGTCAATGAACCTGATATACCGAAATGCTGAATAATGTTGACCGACGGGCATAGTCACGAGGAATTGATGCTGAAGGAGACATCAAAAGGTCCACTTTTACACCAAAATTCTCTAGCAGCGCTGACCCACAAAGCTACACTGTGGCTCAAATCAATATATTCTTCCATGTTCAGACGTAATGGTAGATGGAAGAATTCGAGAGAAGGATTTCAAGAGCTTGTCGACGAAGTCAAGCGAACTTTTAAGACCACTTTCTTGCAGATCTTTTGCCCACCTTTTGTTAATAGGCTGTGAAACCCTTTAGCTAATGCTTTTAATCTTAGATTTCTGCAATAAAGTAGACCATCTCTGGTTCCATCTGCTTCGCTATTAATCGGTAATTTGCTAGATATGGCGAGATATCTCTTCCGCTCTCGTTCCTCTCAGTGACACCATCACTGCACCGCCACTGTCTCTGCTCGTCGATGATGGTTGGTTTGCGAATCTGTTCGTTTTGGGAATTTGCTGCAACCTCCACCTTTAACGTTGGTTAAAACGGCGTCCGAGTTCGCGAATCGTTCCGCTATTATGTTCGCTTCGATCGTGACGAGTAAGCCACTCATCCCTATTCAAAAAGCATTTGAAGGCAAGGTCGCTCGAAAGACGAGCAACTATGTCACCGACAGCTTATCGAATCGTCTTACCAGGACTCAAGTCTTTGGAGCCTACCATGTTTGAGATTTTCTACTCAGGGGCTGTCACCGAGGTACCTTATTTTAGTCAAGTTTTCTGACAACAGATACATCAGTGCAGCGAGGCTACTAAAGAAGCTCGGGCAGAATCCTGCCGCAGCCCAAGGATGTTTTGACGCGTCCATGTTTCATTGTTTCAGGGACCACGTACCTGGACAGCACATAGTTTGAGCCATAATCATATAGCTACGATGATATAGTCAGAGCCACCTATGTTAAAAGGAGGGCACTTTGCATACTGTAAGCATCTAACTCGAAGCTAACTCAGCCTACTTGGTTGAATATGCAGCCCGTTTCGTCCTAACAATGCCTGAGACATATACTGGGCGTCTCGGCGCTATCAGAATAAGGTATTTATGATAACCAGAGGTTCCTCAAGAAGAATATTGACAAGCATCCTATCACATACACGATCCTTCCCTCTACATGATTGCCAATGACCGATTTAGTGTACACATGACACTTCTCCGCTTTAGCGTTTCGGTAACTGATCAAATCTTGGGAAATGTATAATTGCTCTCGATATCTGTTCTTATAAAATCTCTTTCTTCTGACCACCGGTGCCCGCAGCGATAACCTTGACGCCGATATAGCGTCACCAAGCCACACAAGTGCATCTTCTGTGATACCAGCTCGCAGGGCACACTTGAAACTTTGACATGATCACTCGAAATGCTTGCAGCTTCTTGTTACCTAGAATTGTTGGTGATGACTTTTCGAAAGCATCTTAGCCTCTTTCCACCTCATACTTCGCAATCGGGTGCCTGACAAGTGGAAATGGCTGGGACGCATAGCATCCATATGGTATTGCGCCAATGCTCACATTGCTGACTTTTGTTTCTATTACAAGAGCAGTTCTCACATTTCAGCAAGCAAACGCACCAGTTTATACGCTGATAAGTAGACTTACTATCGATTATATGGATTTTTTTCTGGGATTGCGAGCGCCTCAGAGTTCGTTGTGATTAGAGCCATTCCTAACCTGCTTAGTATCGCGGTTCGTAACGTTTGTAGGAAGCTGAAATCCCTGCTAATTAGAGTTGACTTTGAACACACAGTCAGCCTCAGGGGAACAACGACCAAAATATATTTAGTAGTATTCCGTGATTCAGATTCATGTGCCGGACTCTCTGTGATCCCCGCAGGTCGTGGTAACTGGCCGACTTCATGAGTTCAGGTTCTCGACATGTTAACCTGATGGCCTGGGCAATTGGCTGTAAGCTGGGAGAGTGTCTACTGAGGACGGGAAGTGAAGCATCTCCATCTCATGAGCCACACTGCAGATCTGTTAGAAACCTGCCCGAACCGATGTGATATTCCCACCGATGGGCTGTAGAGAGTGTGATGGCGAAGCGTCCGCGAATAGGATTTATCTATATACTGTGCGGTAGGTTCCAACAAGAGTTTTCACTCGGGCAAACATCGTCAACGGCTTTGACTCATACAGACTTTCTCATAAAGAATAATCATTTGTCAGCGCGACTTGCCCAGAATTTTTGATCCACGTTTGTCAAATCCAATCGCCTTTTAATAGTTTTCAGCGTACACTTGCACGATTGCGTTTAATAAGAACGCGAAAACATCGCTGAGTATTTTGATAGAGAACATGTTAAGAAACCATAGTCCACATGTCGACATCCCTATTGCTTGTTCTCCGCAGGAGAGAATCCGGGTCGAGGGGGATTTTAATATTTTCACATTTTGCTGCATGACAATAGGGCTCTGGGCCTAAGACAGCATCCTTTTGTCGTGATTGCCGACCTGTTTAGACGAAGTCCGACCCGTTTCGTTCAGTGAGACCACTTACGTATTGCTGCTCATATTCGTGGGAAGTATGTCATTCTGGCCAACACACTGAATATTTCCTCTAGTCCGGACAGTATACCATTATCACCGGACACGATAGGAGTAGGAGTTTTGAGTGAGATCGCTATAGCGCATCTCTTCATGACGGCCAAACCAGTGTGCATTTAGACTAGCACGATGCCTTTGCCGTCGTGATCCGAGTAGTTGCCAATTGAGGAGACAGCTACATCTGATAAGTAGAGTGCGATGGCTCTGCTGTGATTTGGTGCATTTCGTGCGGATATAAATACGTGAGCTTAAATTTATGCTCTTTTAAAATGGAAAATCAGCATGTGTTGACGCACGTAGGCTGGGGCGGGCGCCAGGTAAACTTACAGTCAAGCTAATGGCCAGTTACTTTGGTCCACCCATGCCAATGGGACAGGACACGAGTGGGGAGGCAGCGTCTATGCAAGTCCTTGCCATGATTCGATCCCAGGGGATCATCTTCCTCCGGGAGGATTACCCTTGTTAATCACGACGAGTTCACTACTGTCAGGTCTCCTGGATGCCACTAACATGCCCACATGCCCGCATCTCTACATTCATCCTGCCGATTCAAACCAGTACCTATGCTGGGCATCGCTATGTGTCTAATAAAGTCTTGGTTTGTATAACCTCTACCATCTCTTGCCGTTCCCTTTGTCGCTAGCCTCACAAATGGAAGGTCAGTCGCACAAACAACACGTTCGTACTGAACTGCCTTCTGATCGCCGACCATCCGGTCACCATGGAAGCGGTCGAAGCAATGAGCATCTTCAACTTCTTCAGGTGCAAGAAGAGGAGCTTGATTACGTAAGTTGGGCCTGATCCCCCCTCTCTCCCTCTCTGTGCTCTGTTGAAAAAAGCTCCTGGTAAGGCTACGTACTTGCCGTCAGAGCACCACGGGATAACTCCCTTATTGGCGTATTACCAACGTGTCCGGGCCAGAGATTTTGTGGACATTGAATGACTATTTCGACCGGCACTGCGCTGAACTTGCACAAAATCATGCCTGCGATGCCATCCAGCATTTGGATTTCCTGGTTTTCGATCTTGGACTTAGAACGCCCATAATTTTCGGTCGTGAAATTGCCCAGACTTGGGTGGATCCTACATCCGCATCCGGTTTTCATTCTTCAAAGCTACTGTTATGGTTTCTTTTGACAGCGGACACTGTAAGATGTGTAGCGGATACTCATAAGAGATTTAAATATACACTATAATTTGGTCCAAAATCATTGGACGAGTTTGTGGCTATGTACTCAGGATCCAGCTTTTGGGTTCAGTTCAATTTGTTTACAGCAGCTACAGTTTACATCTCCTTATTGCAGCAAAATGATCGCACAACGCTCAAACTTGCCACATTTAGTGGTCAGTAACATAATTTGTGCGCTAATATTGCTCAGATCTGGCCCTCGGCGCTTGTGGTTGTCAAGAGCGCGAATGTAAATGCTGGAAGTCCTGTTCATCGGCGAGTCGCCAATATCTCCAGTGTGGTTTCTCCTCTCAACCAAGTCCTTTAAGTTTCTCCCATCGACGCAGCCAATTAACTGCGCTATACGGCTGATGAAGCGCATAGACACTCACCGATCGGGAAGGCTGCTAAGTCGAGCCGTTGTCCATGAAACAATCACGCGCGCCGGTGGTGCCACCAACTTAACGATCCGAAGAAAAATAGGTTGGCTCGACTCTCCCCCCCCCCGATCAACACCCACGACTGGACACGCACCTGCGACGCACACCCCCAGCGCACATGTTTCGGGAGTGAAATCAAACCGATATTTCGGCGACACTGGCAAACTGTGGTTCCATCTGTCTGTGCCTCCTCGTCGGGTATGTGATTACACTGCGGATAGGCCAATGGTCCTCGGATTGACGTTCCCGGTAGACTAATTTTCCCAGCACTGGACCATGTGCGCTGTCTACATGCTCGCCGACTTGTATCCAATTGCAGATGTTGCCCGGGAGTGCTGTCCTCTGAAGAGGATATTAACAAGCTTGAAGATACTGCTGTCACCCGCATATTTTCATTATTATATCCCATCCGTTGAGCATCCATTTCTTTCTTTTTTCACAGGGGGAAGATGACGAGCTTTACGCACCCCAGTCGTCTTCGCGGTCCCCACGGGAGGAGGGAGAGGCCCTCTCAGAAGACGAAATTTTAGCCGCCGCCGCGGCGGCAGCGGTGTCCGGGCATCGGGTCTCGTCGGCCGCCTCTCGTCGCCCACCCAAAGACCGAGAGGAGGGTGAGGCCTCGAGCGACGAGGAGCAACAACATCGGCAGAAAAACCGTCAACACCGTCGCGATCAGCGCCACGCACAGTCGCAACAGCGGCAGCACAAGTCCTCTCGCGAAGGTCGCCACGGCCACAGTCAGAAAAGGCATGCGCCTCCGGCCGGCGAGTTGCGTCCGCGATCCCCTTCGCCCTCCCCCACTCCCGCTAAGGTCTCTCGTGATCTGATAGATGCCGCCGGTGAGGCCCGGGAGGCTGAGTACCGTCGGCGTCTGGCTGCGAGGCAGGCGCAACGTCAACAAGATAAGAGCGCCGAAGAGGTTCATCCCCTCATCCCAATGCGTTCCAAGTTTGACTCTTCACCTGAGAGCAGCCAGGAGGTGCAGGAGGAAGAACAGGGGCAGGAGAAGCGGGTTTTGCCGAGGGAGAAGCTTAAGCGTCCGCCCCCCAGCGCCGAGAATCTTATTTCAGCCAAGTATGCAGATATAGGTGAGACCTCAACTCTATCCGGCCTCGAGATCTCACGTCTGAAGCACCAGATGCCTTTCTTTACCTTTTTCCTCCCCCTCTCTCTCTCTCTCGGTACAAGTTAGCCGGGACGTTAAGTCTTGATAGAGACAAGGCAGTGCTGATAGTTATTGCACCGTTATAACGGTTCATCCATACGCTGCACCATAATGCAGGGCATTTCATGTATCTCACCCGGTGTTTAAACCTTGATCTGGTGATCTTGGGCAAATGACCTGGTTTGTTTGGCATAGAACACGTGAAACACAGGTACTTAAGTAGATTAGGAAGAAGAGGTGATGTCTGGGATGTTTCAGGCGTTTCGAATCCTCAGAGTTATGCTGGTGCCCTTCGACACAACGTGGAGGAGAGTGGGAACATTTGGTAATTTTATTTGCAGAGTTTGATTACGTCACCGCGCCTCCATAAGAGGGCGAAGTTCCCATCACACAAGGCCGTACATCTATTAATAAATGACACAGAAGCCTCCAAGCAACAGCACTTTCACTTACAAGACCGAATAAGTTGGTTGCCCGAGTGGCGTAAAAGCCAAGTATCCATATCGTAGGAAATGGTGCTGGCCGACCAGTTTACCTGACGGGCTCATTCTGTTGTGCCTTGAGGCCCGATCTAGAGCCGGCTCAGGGAATCGCATATCAATCAGTAACATATGCTGGGAGGAGTGTCATGAAAGACAAGGGAGACCGGAATGGCCATTTCTGGTCAGCCAGTCATGCCCAACTCCAGGTCATCCAGACCGGGCACTCAAACCGGACTCTTTAGTCATTGAACGTTTATAAGTCCGCAGTCTGCCATTTAGCCACAAGCTCTCTGTCTAATCGGTTGTGGTCGGGAGTTTCTACCCGGCCTACAAGCATGCTCCATCCGATGTTGACGGCTCTGTTTGGTTTTCAGCAACCCTAGAAGAACCACACCCGAATCCCTACTCCCAGTCCAAGAGGCATCGACCTGCAGATCATGCCGATAAGACAAGCAAAACAACCAGGAAAGCCACCCTACCGGAGAACGCCTTCTCATCGCAGCCCGATCTTGAGGAATTCGCCAGAGAACGTCAACATCGTCACCACCATGTCAGCCGGTCCAAACCCTCTGGCCTTGAGGTTTCTGCCTCGGACAGAAGACCTGACCGCAAGGGACAGTTCCCTGGTCCCGGCGGTAACTACCTTTCGCCGCCAACTTCGCCCCAGCAGCCGCAGCAGCCTGAGCAGCATAGGCCAACGCAACGCAGGTCAGCCTCACACAGCTCCGCCTCGCGCAGCTCCTCCCGCTCACCGCCTGCGCACCTGCGCAACCGTTCTCGCACTCCACCTCGCGACCGGCCGCCCGCGCACCGCTCTGTGACCGATGTAGCCGGCCTGAAGCACAAGTCCAAACGACCGGGGCCTCTTGAGGTAGTAGCGGCTGCACCCCTTAAAAAGAAACATCGAAGGCAGAAGGGCAGACACTCGTCACGCACTACCCCATCTTCCTCCTCCTCCTCATCATCATCTTCCTCCCCTTCTTCCTCCTCCCCAGTCTCACAGAATGAAGAGCCCAACGACCGCGGTAATCGTGAGAATGTTCTGCAGCGCCCGCCCCAGCGTGTCCCCATCGATGGCAGTCGTTTCAAGTACGCCAGTTCGGAGGAAGAGGATGAGGAGGTTTTGGAGGTGGAGGAGAGGGTCGCCGTCAGTGTGGAGCAGCAAGGCCTCGGTGTCCATTTGCCTGCCGGAGATGGCACTAAGGGCGATGTCGATGTGCTTGATGAACTCCAGCGAGAACGACAGCAGCAAGCGACTATGATGGCCCAGCCGGCAAAGCCATACTACTACCCTTCCATCCAGGTTCGCTATTCCTGTTAAGTGTTATTACGTTATAAATAAATAAGTATATATATATATATATATATATATATATATATATATCATTACAGATGGGCGCTCACCGATCAGGTTACGGAACGTGCTTGCTACGTTGTGCTTTAGGGCTAAAACCGAAAAATACAAGGCAGACCGGAATGGCCATTTCTGGCTTATTAGCCGTCGCCAGCCAGCCATACCCAAACCCGAAGTTTGGAACACCCGGGCCTCGAACTCGCGACCTGTTGGTTTAGAAGTCCACGCCTCTACCCACCATTCCAGTCTCCCTTGTCTTTGTCGGTAATACCATTCTGCCTATATATCATGCGCCGCTGTGCGGCTGCTGGTTGGGCTCGAGAGAGAGCCCTTAAGGCACAACGGAACGAGTGAGTTCCGTATGAACGATCGGTGAGCGTCCCCTACCATTATATATATGTATCAAGTGAATAATTTCAGAAATTGTTCAGTGCAGGACATGGAGTTAAGTCGCCAAGATAAGACTTTTTAGGGTCAGATCCGAAATTTCAATGAACATTTGGGTCGAAGACAATCGACTACTTTGGAATAACCACGTAATACCTATTCTAAAAACGAGTAGTACTACAAGTAATATGAAACTTATATGCTAAAGATACTATACCGTACTCCCGACATTGATACTAACTAAAAGCCCAGACACGTGTTTGGCCGACGTTCTGCCGCTACGGGACACAGCCGTGAGGTGTTCGGCTTCTCAGTGGGTCCCCCAGGGTTGTCTGTGCGGTTTCTGGTATATGAACTCCAGAATGTCGGTGAAATACGTGTCTGGGCTTTTAATTAGTATCTATGTCGGGAGTACGGTATAGTATCTTGGGTATGACTGGCTACAGGATGGCCATATAGTTATTAAAATACTTCCCAAGCGACTAACGCTCAACCAATGCCCTTTTTGAATTACACATTATCTGCGAGTAAACCGCACAAAAGCACCTTACTGTATACATCCAATAGTTTAAATGATCATTTAGTGGATGGTCATTTCGCGCCTTCTTATGAGCCACAGACCATGGTGAGGTAGCTCATGAAAAGAGGTCAGCGGACTATCGCATTTTTTACCACTTACTTATTCCCCCTTTCTTCTCTCTTCTGCTGTCCAGATGAGGTGAGTAGTCAGCTTTTTCTGCTCTTACTTAACAGGGCTGTCGCTCTGTTGACGAGTTTGAATGCCTCAACCGCATTGAGGAGGGCACCTACGGCGTGGTCTATCGGGCCCGAGACAAAAAGACCAACGAGATTGTGGCTCTGAAACGTTTAAAGATGGAGAAGGAACGAGACGGCTTCCCGATCACCTCTCTACGCGAAATTAACACCCTGATGAAGGCTCAGCATGAGAACATTGTTACCGTGCGCGAGGTCGTTGTTGGCAACAATATGGACAAGATCTACCTGGTCATGGATTACGTTGAGCACGACTTGAAGGCCCTGATGGAGGTATGTATGTTGCGCGTTTCTGCCTATGCTTTAGAGGTGTCTGACTGGTCTGTTTAGCGGGCAGCCAGTTTTACGAACGGATTTGAAACCTTAAGAACGAGAGACCGTGTTGCGGTCAGTAGATCAGCATATTTGAAGTGGTAGTCCTCTGTCCCCTGATAACTCAATAAGGTGTTCGCAGTAATCTACTGAGGGAAGAAAATGTCAAGTCACAAATTGGCTCATGTACTTAACCGAGCTCTTCAGCGCAGATGAAATCAACTCAAACATGATAGTTCGACCGTCGCATCCGACGGTGTCCACCGTCTGCTCCACAGCGAGGTGAAGCAGGCACGGTGACTTGCGCAGCATCTACCGTGCTTTCTCCTTCTTCCCACCTGGATCCGGTGTCAAGATATAGTCAAGAAAACCGGAGGCGGGAGGGTGCATGTGGATGGCGCGGCCGGAACCGCACCTTGGATTTCGATCAGCAGCAACAACAGAAAAGACGTGGATGACTGGGCAAACGTGCACACGACCTGTATATCCAGCGGGAGCGCAAGCGCATCTACCGGCAGGGAATGAGGTGTCATAGAACTGCCAGCACGCACCAGGCTGCGAGGGCTACGGTTTGCTGATTAATGACATAGCAGACTCTCACCAACCTTGGGGCCCAGAAGAGTGACATATAGTTCTGCATTTGCCTGGACCATCACCCTTAAAAGGCTGGGTAACCAATCAGTCAGCGACTGAGAGGCATTACTTATCAAGCAACTCAAACATGGTAGTAATATATCGGTGTGCTTCAATATTTGATAATGAAGAAGAAGAGTCGAGCACCGAAACACTTCGTTTATTGTCCTGAGCTTCCAGATTCGTACAGGAGTCCATCGTCAGAGGTAGTGGCAGAAACAGTACAAGCCGCAGTTATAAGGCACGTAGGCCCAATCATCGATCGACGTCGCACGCCTGGAGGTGACTACGCAGGGCTCTGTACGCCGGCGCCAGATCGCTTCGCCGCACAGCCACAAGTGGCCGCCCATACCTACGAAATGGGTCACGAGTTTAACTTCGCAGCCACCAAAATAGTCGCCCACGCCGGAAACAAAACAGGCCGAGAATTGATTGAAGCCTGGGCCTCGGATGAGAACTCGGTCAATCGATTTATCGATCTGGCGCCGGCGTACAGAGCCATGCGTAGTCACCTCCAGGCGTGCGACGTCGGTCGATGATTGGGCCTACGTGCCTTATAACTGCCGCTTGTCCTGTTTCTGCCACTACCTCTGACGATGGACTCCTGTACGAGTCTGGAAGCTCAGGACAATAAACGAAGTGTTTCGGTGCTCGACTCTTCTTTTTCACTTATGCATACACCTGGAACTCGAAATTTCACCTTCATATTTGATATTGGCGGCCAGTGATTACTCAAGATACTGACTATTGCTGTTTTTTTCTTTGGTACGGTATCTTTGAGTCGAAACAAAGTATGACTAGTAAGGTAAAAAACAGTCTTACGCATTTTTCATTTTCAGTGTGGTTTTGGAACCGATAGTCGTCTTAGTCCTTGACTGGAGATCTAAAGCAAGAGTCGAACTGACTTGAACTGCTCCTCTAGCCTTGTTTTTTTTTCAAAGTACCATTCAAATCGCAGAGTTTTTCTGGGAATCCTATGAGTTCTGAAAATAGTTGTTTTCTGTGCAAGAAGTTGCATTTGAAGTAAAATGCATAAGACTTTAAGTGACTTTGGTCTACAGTTTGTCCGCTTGGATTATCTATGCCCGCTGATAATTGGCATCGGCAAAATTGGTAAGCAATCGAATGTAGGCCTTGTGGCGATGTATTTGTTCGTTGGCCTAAAAGTGCTGTCTTAGAAATGATGTATAAATTTAATTGCGTTGCCAAAGCCAACAGCTTGATACCGCAGCTATACTGACCAAGTGGTTTTTCATACGACCCGCTAGTTTCTGTTTTTTTTTATCCCGACCTCAGTTGGCGGCGGACCTCGATCTTGAGTGCCTCTCCCCCTTTATGTACAACCAGGAGGGGACCCAATTGGCTTAATACACAATGCGTCAAATGTTCAGGATAGAACTGACTGATAACTGCTTAACCATCTGTTTTTCAGACATGGCAAATCGTCGAAGTGTAAAAAGCACGGCTTAGATCTATTTCGAAACATCAAGAAGACAGAAAATGCGGGCATTTGGCAGGACCTCTTACCTTTTCAAATTGAACACACACTGCTTCATCCTGCTTTTTATCAACGGCTGTACGTAACATCATTTGTACCCATCAAAATTGTTTTTTTTTTGACATCTCAGGTGATGAGCGGACCGTTTAGTGTCGGAGAGGTGAAGTGTCTGCTCACCCAACTCCTGAGAGCTGTCCGACACTTGCACAACAACTGGATCCTTCATCGCGACCTGAAGACCTCCAACCTTCTCCTAAGTCACAGTGGTATCTTAAGGGTAAGTTTACGTGTTGGAGGTGGTGGATGGGTGGGGCTTTTTCGTGAAGCGTTCTCAGTAGACACCATTGGCGTCCCCCTCTGCTGACATGTCCTCTGTTTTGCTTGTAGGTCGGCGACTTCGGTCTTGCGCGGGAGTACGGTTCGCCACTGAAGCACTACACAGAAGTTGTAGTCACCTTGTGGTATCGTGCGCCGGAGCTTCTTCTAGGTGCGTTGCTTTTACTTTTCACCTCTGCAAAAACCTACTTGAACTTTCTGCGATCTTTCAGCCACCAACTATCCCCTCTCTTCCCAGGCACAAAACAGTACTCCTGTCCAATCGATCTCTGGTCGGTGGGATGCATTTTTGCGGAGTTTCTCCTTCAGCGTCCACTGTTCCCAGGCAAAGGCGAAGTGGATGAGTTAAACATGATTTTCCGCGACTTGGGAACTCCGAACGAACGCATCTGGCCCGGTGTCACCTCGCTGCCGGGCATGAAACGTTGCGTATTCACGGAATACGCCTACAACCAGCTGCGCCGACGGTTTACAGAGAAGCAGATCTCAGACCACGGATTTGATCTTCTCAATAGGTATTTAAAGTCGTCTCAGTTCCAACGGCTTTGCAGATATCTTCCAACTACAAATACTTCTAACATAGCTTCAATTAACAGCTATGGTGCGGTGTTGGGGGGAGGGGGTGTTTCCTGTAATGTCTGAATTCGATGGTAGCTACTCCATCCAACTCTTCAGGATTGCGCCTGATGCAGAGAGGGGATTAATTAGTGATTGCGGAGTAAAGCTACTGACTGCATGGGCGAAACAGAGGCCTACGGATCTTGGGGTTTGTGTCAACGCTTTGCCGTTCATGGAGCCTAGACATTCGCACATGTTTATTTTGAAGGTAGAATGAGGTAAGTTTCATTGGATACAGCTCTAGGTCCAGTTATTTAGGGCTTTCATGCTATTCTATACTCTTACTTCCCTGGACTCTGCTCTGCGTCAAAAAAGAAGTAATAATTCGAATAAAATAAGAGGGCATTAGGGCAGTCCGCAGCAAATGCTGAACTGGCGTATGCCAGGGCGTGACTGGTGCACGAGGAATAATTTGGCCGAAAAACCCTTACTTAAATAAACGTAGTAGCGAGTACTGTGTAGTAAACATACTTGGACTACGTACCATATTCCTGCCGGAAGATATATTTCCAAGCCTTTCTGACCGACCGAAGCCTTTATTGGCCTGACGTGTTCGGACGAGGTATGAGAACCTCTCATACAATGGGGAGGGTATTAAAACCTCGCGTCTTGGTGTTTTGACGTGCTTTTTACAATCCCAACTCACACGTTACTTAAATAGATTAATTAGTCTTTTTATGGTGAGTTAAACAGGTTTGCTTACGTTTACCCTAACCCCTTCGCCTCTATTAGCTTCCTCACCTACTGTCCGGAGCGTAGAATAACAGCAGACAAGGCGCTCAGCCACCCCTACTTCAGCGAACGTCCGCGCGCCATCGATCCCTCAATGTTTCCCACATGGCCTGCAAAATCGGAGGGCGGCAAGGTATCCGGCCGGCGTGCCAATTCGCCCCGTCCCCCGCCTGGTGGTGGGGCCCTCGCAGCCGCAGCAGAACTCCGCGGGTCCGGCGGCGCCTCTAACTTTAGCCACCTAGGCGCGGCCTTTGACAGGCTCCAACAACCACCACCACCTCTGGGTGGCCAGCGTTTCTACGCCCGCTCACCCTCGCGACCCAACACGGCCCAGGGTGCAGGCAGTCAACAGCCCGGAATGGGCTCTGGAGGGCCCGATCAGGGGTTCCTTCTACGATTCTGACCCGCCCCCTGCCTTACGCTTTTTTTACTCTCATGTTATTGTTGCCCCACCGCATCATGTGACGCCTCATGTAACTATGTACACACACATTTATTCATACAACAAGATTTTGTGATAATCGGTTGGCTGTCTTCTTCAGCGTTATCACAAACACTCGCCTTCGTTGCACCGTGTTGTTTCACCCCCACCCCTCACGTCCCCAATGTTGGTTTCGCGTTCTTGTTGTTGAGTTTGTGCACTTGAAATCCCCGCACTCCCCGTGCCTACATTTGCCAGTGAGCCAGCTTAAACTCTCACATTTTATCTCCAGCCGGTACCCACCCTTCATTCGGAAACAGCTGACTATTCCTACTGTTGTGGTGACCATAGTCTGATTCTAGGCATGTCGTACTCACTGGCGATGATACCGCAACAAACCCAAGTTGGTTTGTTTAAGATCGAGTCCACTCTCTCCTGTTCTCAGTGGATTGTTCGTGTGCGAGCGTGTGTGTAGGGGTAGCTCACACCAATCGACTGTCTTCCAGCGCGCGGTAAATTTTTTGCATGCGTGGTTTCGACCACTTTACTGCATTGGTCGGAGGTATCTGGTATAGTCCAACCACTCAGGGTTTCCATTCTGTCATTATGACTTGGCGGATCAGCCTGTTGTGGTCTACGGAGCCTGAGCCGTTGTTGTTGGTCAGTAAACTGGTCTTCACGGTTTCACTGACCTTCCATAAGTTCAACTTGAGGCGTACGTCATAGACGTCCTTTGGTCGTCCCAAAACCAAGTCAAGCCGTGGCTTACAGAAGAGCGGTTTGGTGAGGGAATTGTGTCCTGGATTCGAGGTAGGCGTCTCCCTCCTCCACCCCCGGCACACTAGTGTCAGGTTCTGGGATTATACCTAACGACGAGCAAAGGTTATTTGATGACGGGCAGCATGTCATGTCGTACGACCGCCATGCCTTGTGGCAAACATGATTGATCTGCGAGGTCTGTTCCTGACCGCATCGAATGGTCCGCAGTCAGGCCTCGTCTCCCCGGGCTTCCCGTCGGTCTCGGCAACACAAACCAGAATGTTTGAGCCGTATGCGGCCTCATCCGCAGTCATATCGATGCATTCTTGCCTCAAGCAACTGGTGGGAGCTCGAAATAAAGTCTGGTAAAAGGATTGTACGACTCTTCAACGTACTGGTTGACAGTGCTTTCGGGGCGTAGTAACAGCCGTATCCGAATGGAGTGTCGTTAAATTTTCGAATGTTCGCCGCTCAAGTTTTTTTCAGCGGTTTTCCATCGCCGGACTGCTGTTGCAGCAGTGTAGGTCTGATCAAAACGACTAATTTAGGCACCCTTTCCGGCATCTGTCCTAATTTGGATTACACGAACCATGACGTCTACATCATAACAGGGTTTTGACGCCGACTGCCTCTGTGGGGGGTAACATCGGTGGATACCCACTAAAACAGGACGTTCTCTGATCACAAGTCACGGAGACAAAACGCTGCCAGTAGGGACGCACCAGCGCCTGTCCAGGGTGTTGGTATTCCTTAGATTTTTCTAGATTCAGCGCTGGTTTATTCACCGGAATAGACGCACCCGAGGTCAAAGCTACGTCAGAAGACAGTCAGGATAACTCGGTTATTCTTTGTGGTTCTATAGCAATAAACAGTAAGATTAGCGGAGCACAATGGAGTTAATAAGGCGGGAAATAAATTGAAAGGTGATAAGAAGAGCAGTCAGCGAATGACGCCAAAGTGTGGTGGTCGATTTATAAGCGAGCGGCAACAAAGAGCAATAGACAATGGACAAAGAATGACGAGAACCGACGAATAGGGATACAGAGACAAAGACAAGCGAAATGTGTAAAGTCTGGTTACTAACAAACGGTTAGTAGCAAAAGGAAAGACAAGAAAACAAATTGACATCAGGGATGTCACACAGGGTGTGACCGTCGTGGGTCGGGATGCGCCTCTTGGTCATGCTAGTAATTGAGCAGTCAGGGCTGGTTCGAGACGGCGCACCAGTGACGGTGACAAAAAGGGTGATGGACGCATGTACTTGCAGACGCGCGCGCTGACAGGTAAGCCTATAGGGTTTTGCAGCTGCCGTGCTGCAGGGGGCGCTTGCAGGTTCACTGGAACGCACTGCACGTCGGCTAAGATTGGAGGGCAACAATGGGCATGCTGAAATAGGTATCTGTTTCCAACGTCCTAAGCCCCCGACACCCCAAACGTGTCCAACCGTAGTTTTGCACAGCATCTGATCTGAAGATATGGAACTCCTCTCTGGCCCGTGACCTTTCAGTCCCAGTATGGATAGGAGTGTCTCAGGCCGTGGTCTCTAAAGTATGTCCTGATACTCTTAAGGCCGTGACCGAAATGCAAAAATGCGTTTTCGAATAATGAACTTCAAATGTAGGTTGTAGTAGGGACAATGTCATAAATCCACAGGCAGTGTGCACGCCTGTCTGTCTGTAAGAATTTTGGGAACTTCATGCTGGAGTACGTTTCTACTTTTTCTCCGATATCTCCACAAACCAAACTATTTCTTTCCCGGAAAGACTGACGTACTGCATAAGCACTACATATTCTGTCGTCCATTTTCGAACTCTGCTTGAAGTCGCTTGGACTTCCTAAAACGTTGCGAGTGGTTCATTTTTATAATCTGTTTGGACAAGGCTCGGAAACGCGGTCCTGTTGGGAAATGGGGAAACCCAGGCGCATGCAATATGGGGACCATGGTAAAAAGGGCTTTACGAGTGGGGCCGCGGGAAATCAGTGTAGAGTGTACGAAAACTAAGGGAGAACGCAGGTATTATAAGTAAATATGCCAGTTTGTTTTTGTGGGTATTAAATCTCAGCGTAAACACCGCGCAATACGAAAATTCCCCGTAGGTAACCAGTAAAAACAATTCCACGAAGAACAGGTTTGATTGGCCAGTCAGGGCCATTGAGACTAAACCGTCCAAGAGTGTGGCCAATCAGACGCAAGTCGTGGATGGCATTTGTAGGAAGTGGGTGCCGAATGACTCCCTAAGTATAAACACGAACAATAGACCCTGACCCTAAGCCTTTAACCCGAACCGTGGAACCCAAACCCTAACGTAATTGTGAATCATAATCGCAGCAGTCCGCGAAGCACCTCAAAGTGAAAGTATCCTGTTGACCTTAATAATAGTTCGAAAGTGATAAATACTGACCATCTGTTGAGATCAGTAAAAGTACGGAGATGGTCATTTGTTGGCCAAGCAGGACAGCGTTTCCGAGCCCCACCCCTTTTCGTACCAGGTCACATTTAGAAGTTTGTGGTCGATGAAACTACGAATCTTTAGAGTTTTGTTCGTCAGAATGAGAAACCAAGATATTGGTTGCTGATTCTATCTATCTATCGGGAACACACCAGAAGCCGCTGTTCGGTCTTTGAATAAGTTCATATATGGTCTTGTCCACAGATCAGGAACAGCCCTACCAATGAGACTCGGAAATGCATGATAGGTCCTGACTGCAACTGAATAGTCTCCTGTGGCCCACTGCATTCTGTGCAGGGATCTTTATTTTCGGCAATTCTGTCCAGGTGAAAGCGTCTTTACACTAGGCTCCATGAGCAATAGCTGGTACTCGAGTGGAAAGAACCGATATAACGCCTATTTCCGCTTGTCCATCTGCGTCGTATGACGTACAACTGATTTCGTTGGGCAAGCTACCCAAAACCGTTTGTTTCCCAACTACAGTCCGGGTGGATTGATGAACGCCGCTGATAGGTGACTTCAGATTCAAGTAGACTCTAACCAGCGCACGGTATGCCTGCCCCCTTACGCTTCTCGTTGCTCTTTTATCTCTCTTCACCATCCATCTCACGATTTCAACGTTTTCTCGAGTTATGGCCGTTGAAGACCTATCATTTTTCATCACGTCGGAATGTGAAAGTTGTGTGGACAATACAGAAAATGTGTCATGGGTCGACTAAATAAACTGCTTATCTCTGGGCGGGCATCCTATGCTTACAGTGTTAACGACAATCTACTAGCCTCTGTAATGATGATCCGAAGTTTTCATTATTCTGTACCTATGGCTTGCACTTCTGTTCGAAAACGAAAGTCGCCTCCCCTTTGGACGTACTCGCGAAAACAAGCGTGGTGGCTGCCTGGCGGCTGATATTTTCCCACAGCCGATAAAGAGATCATGGATGAGCGCGACGATTTCGGACCAATTAACCAAGTGCGCGCTTTAGCACTAGTTCGGCCGTCTCAAGCAATGAGAACCACTATCTTAGGAAAGTAGCGATTACTTGTGCAGCATTGCCCACGCCATATCTCATTTGTCTCCCATATCCACACCGTTTCAATAGTGAGACGAGGCCAGTGCGAGGGGGGATTGACGTGACTTGTCCTTCGTCTACGCGTGCTCCACGCGAGCCGCGCTTAACGCACTGAGATCTCACACCGGCAGAACTTTCGATAAGCACCACATTATGAGGAGTCGCTGCAATCCTACATCTCGGTTCAGAGGAGGACCGCGTTGTCTTGTCGAGTTGGCAACTTTCGTGCTCACGATGCCTGAGGCGTTGTGGTAGTTTGAAATTGCGGCAGGATTACTATTTTGATAAAATCAAGCACCGAGTCCACGGAATCCTCCCTAACCCATTGTGAACCAAATCAAATCGATTCAAAATGGATGCAGCAGCTGATCTGGCGCAAAACCGTAGCTAAACGCTTGCTCCTCACCTGTTTGACGTCCAGTAGCGTAGGCTGTTCCGGGAGGTCCACGTGGTTTCGCAATCAGACCGAAACAGGTGGTTACTGTTACGGGAATTGCATTTAGTTACCAGACTATGGCAACACTAGCTATGCCTCCAACACAAAAAGACTATGTTGAATCGGGCGATGCGTCTGGTGGAGTCCGCAATGAGACCACGAAGTTCAGATGAACGCGTCTCGTTAGAAGGTACTAAAATTTGACCACAGTTCACATGGTGGAGATGTACTGGGTCGGTGAAATGTTGCCGACATAGTTTATCGAAATTTGGCGCAATCCATTTGCAGGGCGCGACGTTCATAATGCTGAACTTAGTCCCATCTCCGAATTTTACAACTCACGTCTGCAGAGAGGTGTCACTGCAAAATAAGATGTAATGTGATGAAGCTCCATAAGTAGAGTAGAATACGTAAGTGTGTATGAGGCGTCCACCTATCTGGCTTGATTGTGAATATTCGTGAACAGAGCTCGTATTTAAACTAGTATTTCATTAGACTTCGAATTTGCAGACCTGCCCCTTAGTCTGAGATCATTCCGATCTGGGGTTCTGATGTTGCCTGTTGATGATGAGAAATAATTCAGAAATTGACATCGCAGTATCACAAGCGTGCAGGGCATTATCCTGGTCCTCCGTCATAGACACTTTAACTCCTCCAGTAGAAGAGAAATCTATTGATGGGCCTTGGTCACATAGTCCGCGGCGGTCTGTGTAAATCATAGAATTTTTGGGAACAATTTACTAAAACTACCTTATTGAACTTCTTTCTAGGAAATATATTGAGATCGTGCGGCATTGGGGGTCTCTAGGGGTTGAGTTTCTACATTTTTTGAAATCTGTACATAGACGTGCATGTCCTCAAGTACCTCCACGCTTATTTTTTTTCCTTGTAAATTATTTCACTTGCCCAAGGCCTAACTCTGTGTTTTGTGAGGCACAGGATATCTCTTAAGAAGTGTTTAGCAGCTTATGGGAATTTTCGCACCTCACTTGTGACATGTGGCAACGTGGACCGTGCGCCAGAAATTGTTCAGTTTGGCGGAGTTTCATTTGGCCTAACTGTGGAGTCGAAAGATCGTTTGCAATGTTTCTCGAGTGCTGATTCAACACTATGAAAAAAATAGTAGCACAAACAACAAAAATGCGCATTCTCACGTGCCCTCTACGGAGGGCACATGGTATTCCCCGTGTCCTGCTTTATGACATCGTACTATCTACTTATATCGACTCAGTAGAAACTAGTTTCCTGATTATAATTGCGCAGTAACAGTCCTGAAATCATGAACGAATGCTCAAACCAGCAACATAGGAAATGTTATCTGCTTAAAACCCTTTAAAAACCTTCGTTATGCTTAGGGCTTCGATCAAAAGTGTATCTGATACTTTTCCTGGTGGAAAAGTGTGAAGTTTGCAACCATTTTAATCCGACGGTCACCACAAAGATGAACTTGAATGCGAAATGAGATGAATGTCACTGAAAGTGCCCGAGCGCACGGGTTAGGACGTTATTGGCTATCTTTAAGCCCATGTATACTATTCGAACAATGTGTCTTCACCTTCGGCCTCCACTCCTCCGACCGCATTTTAGAATTTCGGTGGGAGCGATGTGCACCTACGTGCACCTCCGTTTTGTTTGTTATTTTATTCTAGGGATGATCTCTGCCCCTTTAGATCAGTTTATTCATCTCAGAACTTCCTCTACTTTAAAATGCTGTTGTTCACTTTTTTGAAAGCCTGATTCTCAAGAAAAATCTTCTACATTCAGAGACAGCTTCTCCAACAGTCCTCATTTATCCCGTGATCACAATGATAGCCGAGCGCAACTGCCATAGTTGCGCGGAGCATCATCGTAGCCGGCGGCGGCATTGGCTGCCTCCGCCCAGTCTGGAGTTTTCTGTGGAGGAGATCAGTCGGGAGCTGGCCAAACTGGGCGTCTCCGAGACCTCGCCAACCCGCCTGATAGCTATCAAACGCGATCTGGATGAGCTGATCCGCCAGGATCTTGAGATGGCCCGTTCGAAGTCCTCCCTCGAGTTCTCCGCTCCCCACCGCCCCCATCAACACTCCCAAGTTCTGACTAGTAGCGGTTCGATCGATGTACGTCATATGTTGCAAAATGCTATACTTATTTCTTTAAGGTAGCGTTTATTTTCACATAAGGGAAAATATGCAGGTATTTGCTAGCCTAGGCTTGCACCCAGCCGTTAGTATTCAGGAAGATTTAATTTTTTTGTGAGATGAGAAGGAAGAGCAAGGTGACAACAGGTGACATTGACAGTTAAACCGTCGCAACCGGCATTCACTGTGTGGCCCACCGGAGTGGGCGCAGCACTGGTTAGGCAGGCCTGACAGCACCTATCGCATTCTCTCCTCCTTCACCCGCCAGCCTTTGGTGGCAAGAAACATCAAGATGCCTTGGGGTGGGTTCGAACGCAGTGACTGACGAAGCTCAATGGACCGTCTGGGCGTGCCACACACGGCCTTGTCTCTACAGCACGAGGGCGGCTACGGTGCCGCATGCGTGAGTGTCATGAAGGGCGCATTAAGAAGGGACCATTGCTGCCTTAGCCTGTCGGACAGTAAGTTTCCAAGCTATGACTGACAGCGCGACAGTGGGCTGCTGTGCCATGGGGATGGGTCCTCCAGTGTCGACCTCGCTCTGTCCCTCCCTTCCCCCTCCCCCTATGCACCAGCCGACTGTCCGAGGCTGTCGAATCGCTTTTACTGGAATTGGACGCGGTACGTGACAGAGCTAGGAAGACCCATCTACGCGGGCCGCGCACGATCCGGTCACCGGCTAATGTGGCTGACGGCAGATGGCACCCTGTTCCCAGTCCCTCATGGTTTTCCATAGACTGCGCTGTTTGGGTCGCGGCGTGAAAGCATGCATCTCACCAATTTCACTTTATGGTAATCTGTACTGACGCAATGTCGGATTTTTGGCTTGAGGTATTTAACAGCATCGTGCTAGAATTGCGTTCGACGGGCAACCATCTGATTGCCGATATTGCCTTGTCGTTTTGCGGATCGACAACTGTTTTGGTGATTTGCGGCACCGGCTTTTTCGTTGTCTTTTCGTCCTACCGAATTTCAGCGACCCACTACGTCGGTATGTCATTTGATAGAAAAGTCATGACGCGCTACGAAGGTAGTCACACGAAACCCTGGCTGTCCCACATTCAAGGTAATGGCCAACTAGACTATAATTCAAATTGCACTTCCCTCTGCAGCCGGATTATGGCTGGCTGATGATTACAAACGGAACTTTGTCTTTGTCAGTTACGCCTTTCCATCATTGACTCCCCATTACCTGCCTGCGAAGACTCTGGATCCGAAACTCCGAAGCAAAACTGGACATTGCAATGGGGCCACAGTAATGAACGCCATCTTTCGTGGCTTTGCGTATTTCCAATCGATGCTGACAGAGCTCAGCTGCGTAGCTCAAGCGGTATGACTACTTTCGAAAGCCAACTGGACTCGGGTTCAAGTCTCAATTCTTTCCAGCTTGAGGTTTCGATACTGCCGACTGACGACTGCTAATTAGCCAGGAGTGGGTATTTCTGTCTTTATTTTCTTTGACCGTAAAATTTATCGATTAATGGGCTGGGCGACGACCTGTCATATGTTTGGGCGCCCATGTCTTTTCCCTCATACAAACCTTCTTAGACAACATCCCTCACGCGTGCCAATTAAGAATACTTTTATGTAGGCTGTGTCGTCCCATCAAAACCACCTTTTGGGGCTGCTTCCCTTTAACATGTAAGATTCCTAACTTCAATGGTATGGGGCGCTCACCGGCCGTTCTTACGGAACTCACTCGTCCCGTTGTGCCGTACGGGCTCTCTCTCTCGAGCCCAACCAGCAGCCGCACAGCGGCGCATGCTATAGGCAGAATGGCAATACCGACAAAGACAAAGGAGACTGGAATGGCAATTTCTGGCTTATTAGCCGTCGTCAGCCAGTCATATTCAACCCCGAAGTGTGAAACACCCGAGGCTCGAACTCACGACCTGTTAGTTAGAAGTCCACGCCTCTGACCACTGAGCCACGAGCCCGTTGCTCTGTCGGTTTTCGATCGGGAATATACAATGGTAGGGGTCGCCCACCGCTCACATACAACTTATATCATGCGCCGCTATGCGGCTGCTAGTTGGGCTCGAAAGAGAGCCCGTAAGGCACAACGGAACGAATGAGTTCCGTAAGAACGGTCGGTGAGCGCCCCCCTACCATTGTATAATCCCAATCGAAACCGACAAAGCAACGGGCTAGTGGTCCAGTGGTTAGAGGTGTGGACTTCTAACTAACAGGTCTCGAGCGAGCCTCCGGTGTTGCACACTTCGGGGTCGGGTATGACTGGCTGACGACGGCTAATAAGCCAGAAATGGCCATTCCAGTCTCCCTTGTCTTTGTCGGCAATAATATATTCCCAACGTCGCTCCGTTTATATCCACGAAATGCGTGATTTTAGTTCATGCAGCATGCCCATCTATTTGTCAATGTATTTCATGCACATGTTTTGCTTGTAGTCTACCAACACAGAAACCTGTAACCAAAATTCGTCCAACACCAACAAGACGAGCGGCCGCCAACCCCGACCGAGTACGCGGCCCGATGCTGAGGGCGATTTTCCCTCCTCCTGTAACTCCACTCCGCATGAGTGCAGTAGTTCTGTTTGCGATCAACGGCAGCAACACCACCACCACCATCATCATCATCGACAGCAGATGGAAGCGGGAAATCCCGACGACCGGCCGAAGTTTCAATTCCACTCACCTCTTCAATCGGCTTCGGTAGAGAGTCTGGAGTCGCCGTTGGACTATCAGAGCTGGTCAAGCCAGTCGTCTGCCGCAGCCGTGGACGAAAGTCTAAACGACCTGCTCTCAGAAACTATCTACATGCAGGAGGAGGGGGAGGAGGAGGAGAAAGAGGGCGCCGAAGCGGCCCAATCGACGGACTTTGAGGAGAAGGAGGAACAAGAGGTTCTTGAGAGTTATCAAGTTCTTAGTGGCAGCACCTCTACCCTGTGTTCTCACGGCCTTTCCCCCGTCTCCGCTTCTCCAGGCACCCATGAAGGTTGGTTTTCGTCAACACCACCACCACCACCACCACCACCACCACCACCACCACCACCACCACCACCACCACCACCACCACCGCCACCAGTTATTAAATTGTGATTTATAATTTAGCCTGAAATTGCCGTGTCAGCGTAGAGAAAAGTAACGATAGTAATGACGTTGGCGGTAGTAGTAGTAGTAGTAGTAGTAGTAGTAGTAGTAGTAGTAGTAGTAGTAGTAGTAGTAGTAGTAGTAGTATTAGTAGTAGTAGTAGTAGTAGTAGTAGTATTAGTAGTGGTAGTAGTAGTAGTAGTAGTAGTAGTAGTAGTAGTAGTAGTAGTAGTAATATTAAGCGAAAAGGCACTCGTTTGGTTACGTTGCCTGGCCGTCTGACGTTTAGGAAAACCTTTTCGCCTTCCAATCGTCAGGCTGTGGGCTCCGGTACTGTGTCCACATTTTGGGACCTATGCTCGGAACGAGCCACTCTGCCTGGTTAACAGTATTATCTGCGGATTAACCTTTACTGCCTGTGTCTGTCATTTACGTGCTTTGTTCAACCACTTAAGTTATTTACATGGTTGCGCAAATCCGCATGCCTAGCAGGGGAAACCAGTATGTCGGTTTTTTGAACGCTCGCCTTGGTAACTTGCATCTGTGGCGCCACACACGAGGCAAAGGACCTCCTTCGACATCAAATCTACTCACTGCTCAGGTCACACCGAAAACCCATTCGCTACTAACAGATGAACAAAAGACCCTAAGGGAGTTGAAAGAGAACAATGCGATAGTCATTCTGCCTGCTGACAAAGGCCGGTTAACAGTTATCCTTGACGAGGTAGACTACCGAAACATGCTCCTCAAAAATCGGGAGTCCTACAAAATCAGCGACACCGCCAGTCTAAAGTCCCTACTGGCGAAGGTTAACAGAATTCTGGATCGACTGAAGAAGGACAAGGTCGTCACCGCCAAAGACTGGTATATAGCAAAGTCCATAGTAACAGCTATGGCACAATTCTAAGGCCTTCCAAAGGTACACATGCGAGATGTTCCACCCCCCGACTAATCGTCTCATTTCGAGGCACACCCACATACGGGTTTGCTAATTGGCTATTCCAGAAGCGAAGATTCCTAACCGCGGGCTCGCAAACAACAGTGCATTCAGCAGAACAATTCCTTGACAAAATAGGGGCGGTCACGATCGGACCGAACGAAAGGATAGTGTCATTTGATGTCGTCTCACTCTTCACCTCCATACCACAGGTCCTTTCGGTTGAAATGCTCAGTGATCTGCTACGTCAAAATTACAATTAGGGCAATAACCAGTCCACAGCTTAAAATCTCAGAGGACCCATGGGGCACTGCCCCAAAACATTCTTTACGGGGGGTATTACGATTCAACACTCCAACCCAGCACTCCAGGCAGGGTTAGGACTATCACTCAGTGTGTTGTATACATTGGATGCTTGGCAATGACACACTCTCCACAGGCAGTCTCAACGCTTGCTCACACAACCCCTGAAGCCGGAGGTTTGAGTTGAAGCTCCACAACACAAGAACCGTCTCCTGTCCTCCCCCTGCTCCTACTCCGGCTCCTCCTCCTCCTCCCAACCGACACCGCCGTAGCAGTTTCGTCCGTCATGGAGACGACTGGAGATGAGCCTAGTGCAGTGGCTGACTTCACGTAAGGCCTCTCACTCGCACCCAAACACGCGTTGATCCCCTATCCCCTACCAGCCGTGCCTTATTGATCCAGATCTCATAATGGTGAGCGTTGATGTAAGGCCATATTAAGACGGGGTCACTGCATTCTCTTCCCCAGCTTAGAGGACGGAGTTATCACGTCAGTTGGCAGCCTTCCTAGCCACAACTTTTGGCGTCACTTTTATGACAGGGAGGAAAGGTTGATATTTCCTTCTCCCCTCCCCCACTCCATTGTGTATCTGTGTCAAATCCAAGTGCAATTGAATTATTCGGGCATGGGGGTTGACCCGACAGAAAGTCTCCTTATCTCTTGTGTCACACGCGCTTTGTTTCCATTTAAGTTTGACAAAAAAGCGCTATCCGGTCTTTGGGGGTCAACCACACCAAAACCAATTACATCAGTTGCGATATACTCACACTTATCTAAACACTTTTTCTTCTTTTTGCAGACGACAATGGGCCAGCAGGGCCTCGAGTTTATTCAATCAAATCGGACCAAAAAGTAAAATTCCAGCAAAAGATGAACTTGGTAAGTTATCTTGTTAAAACACGAGGAGATGCAAAATGAGATTTCTTGTGTAATCACACCTCCGAATTTCATTTCAGGCCAGATATTCACTCCACCGTATAGTATGCAAACAGTTACCTGCCAACGTAAATATATATAATGGTAGGGCGTTGGATTTATAACCCACAGGTCGCGGGATCAAACTCCAGGCTTCGCACACCTTGGGGTTGGGTATGGCTGGCTGACGACGACTAACGAGCCAGAAATGGCCATCTCAGTCTTCCATGTCTTTTTCGGTAATACTATTCTGCACATATATGTACACGTTGCGTTTTCAGGCATACATATACCCGTGGTCGGCCTTTATTAAATAAACAAACACCAACAATATGGGTTCTGTCCCAAGCAGATTAACGATCAGTTTCCAGTGTATGAATGGCAGCTTAGGACAAGTGGTCTCGCCTCTTCATGGCCAATTGTTGTTCGTGTATGCGTGCAGGGCCGACCTTCCAGTTCTACCACAGTAAACTGCATCGCAGACGACGCACGGAATCTTGTAGATAACCTCTTTCTTACCTTAATGGCTATGCCTATCCTTAGGGTGTACAAGCTAGTTGCGTAATGTAGTCGTCGGTTTGTGCGCCACTTGTAGGGGATGTTTCCTCAAATGCCCATTAACCAGTTCGGACACGTTTTAATGCACAGAAACGTTCGCCAGTTTCTTGGTTTGGATGTCTGATCGGAACAATTTAATTCCTTGTCTTTTTCTTTCAACTTCTGTTGTCTCATGCATCAATGTGCAGAATCTCTAGGGTACCCACTTTAGGAAAAAAATTGAACAGATAATTAAATGTTGTTTGTTAATTATCGCTGTCTGGAGAGCGTGTTTCCGCCTGATGAAGTAGGTTGTTAACAGCACTTCGTCCGTGTAAAATAGGATGATTGCTTTTGTAATGTAGAACAACTTTCGCATAAATTTCTTAGCGGCAAATTTATGCGTGAAAAGTCTCGTCAGTCTTTCGCCGTACGAGAACGTCAAGGATAGGGAGTTTGCTGTTAACCTCTTTTTCGAGCGCAAGCGAGATTCCTGGTACTGTTGAGTTAATAAAACCGTGGACCATTTCCAAGTGATCCATTGTAACTACAACAAAAATGGCCTCCACGTAACGCGCCCTGGGGAATGATAGAGAATGCACGTCGTCCAGGCAATTGGAGAGAAGAAGACGGGAGGGCGATCGCTAAGACCAGTTGTTTATTTGTCCGACGTTTCGAACTCTCACGTGAGCCCATCGTCAAGGAATGAAAAACTGTACAACTCATCGCATTTTTAGTTCACCTCTGTCGGGGATGACCTCCAGCTGCGCTGATGATTTGTTCACGCAGTGCTTGATACGCGATTGGCATCGAGCCAGCCGACAAGAAGGCTGAAGTCCATTTCCTGCAGAAACTCTTCACAGCGAACGGCTACCTTGGGAATTTTGTCGAAAAGTGCAGACGAGAAAGCCGGAGAAGAAAACCGAAGGGATAACCAAAACCGAAATGCTGGCGCGCAGTACCGTACATAGCTGGTGTATCAGAAGAATTCGCTAGGCTGATGAGCGAATTTGGGATTGACGTCGCTCACAGACCTGAAGCAACAATACGCCGGCAACTTATGCACCCTAAGGACCCGATTCCCATCAATCAGAAATCGAGGGTCATTTACCGGATAGACTGCAGTTGTGGTCAAGCCAATTATGTTGGTGAAATCAGCAAACAGGTTCGCACGAGATTGCACGAACATGAGTTGCCTGTGAGACGGAAGGATAAACTTGCCTTGGTAGCCGCCCACGCCTCCTCGCCAGGACACAGCTTTGACTTTCAGTGTGTGAGAATATTGGACCAGTCGGATGACCGAGTTACTCACCTTCTGCAGGAAGCGTGGCAGGCAACCGAGGACTCGATTAATCGACGTATCGATCTGCCAATCGCCTATCAAGCACTGCGTGAACAAATCAGCAACACAGCTAGAGGTCATATCCGGCAGAGGTGAGCTAAATATGCGATGAGTTGTGCAGTATTTCATGCCTTGACGATGGGCTTGAGTGAGAGTTCGAAACGTCGGATAAATAAACAACTGGTCCCAGCGATCGCCTTCCCGTCTTATTCTATTCAATTACCTGGGTCGCGTGTGTTCTCTATCGTTCGGAATATATACACATATATCATAGCTTGGCCTACTTCAGCCTGGTAGGTGATCACACACTTCAATGTTGGGTATGACTGGCTGACCACGGCTAACGATCCAGAAATGGCCATCCAAGTCTCCCTTGTCTTTGTCGGTAATATCATTCTGCCTATGTCCTGCTCCGCTGTGTGGCTACTGGTTGGGCTCGAGAGAGAAAGAGTCCTTAAGGCACAACGGAACGAGTGAGTTTCGTAAGAACGATCGGTGAGCGTCCTCCACCATTATATATATATATATACATGACAAGGGGTTATACCGTATCCCTGACATAGATACTAGCTAAAAACCACATGTGTGTTTCTCCTATGTTTCTGCTGCTGGATGACGCAGTTGCGAGAGGTTCGGCTTCTCAGAATTCTAATTTCGGGTTGAATCTTAAAAAGTCATGTCATGGACACTTAACCGCATGTCCCGCGCTTAGTAATTTTTGAAACCATTACCTTCATCACGCTCTGCAGTTCACATGCCAGAAACCGCATATAGAACACTGGGAGACCCACTGAGGAGCCGAACCCCTCGCAGCTCTGTCATACGGCAAGAGAAACATCGGCGAAGCACGTTTCTGGGCTCTTAGCTGGCACCTTTGTCGGGAGTACGGTATAATCCAGGTCGTGCCTTTAGAGCAGTGTTATGAACCTAATAGCTCGTGTAAATTTACAGTACTATATGTAGGAAGAGTAATCGACAGATACAGGGGGGACTAAGATGGCCATTTCTGGATTGTTCGCCGTCGCCAGATAAACTTGCTCGACCCCGGTTTGCAGGACCTTTGCCGCAAATCCGCGTTCTTTGAACTTCGAGCGTTATTATGTCCAACTCCCTACCATCAAACCATGACTCCATGTCCTATCGGTTTCGATGGGAAATAGTAGCTACGAATGCAGTGTGTTGGAGAATGCATTTATATTCATTTGTTTTTAAAAATGCAGTATGTGCGATGACAGGGCTCCTATTGAACCCTTTACTAACACCATCGTCGGCCGCCACCTAGTGCAGCCTAGTCCAAAACGAGTATGTTCTTAAGGTACTTAAACGTTCGCCGCCGGCTTCTTTGCTATTGCCTGCCAGCAGTCATGTGCTAAGGCCTAAGACGAACTTATTTTGCCAAGGGTCAATCATAGGCATCTAAATTTTCCCCAGAAATCCCAAGACTGTCAACCAAAATTACTGAACACCTGTCACAAATGATACAGTCCTTTGAACGTACATTGTATGACAGTGTTCATGTCTCTCTTAGGTTCGAGGTCGAACCGACGCTGTATCACGGGAGGTTTGTATTGCTGAATCTTGCCAGTTACTTAAATAGTCATTGAGCTTTTGCTTATGAGTCTCCGCTTATCATTATCTTCGTATGTTACGGAAAACTAGCCCTCCCACATCAAAACCACACCGGACGACGTCGAAACCAACAAGAAGTCCGTCAGAGTGGAGGGGGACCAGACTAGGCAGCATCGAGGCTATCCACGGCCGGACGGTGTTCAGTATTTAGACCTGCCTTCAGCCTACAAAACGCGGGTCTCCAAAAATCTGCCTGATCCAAGGAAGTTGAAGAAAAAACTGCACGGACTCTTTGTTCCCTACCGTATGGCCTTGGAAGACAGCCCAGGCTCAAGAATCGTGTCAGGAGATGGTGCCACCGCCCACCTGGCGCCTCCCCTCATACCCCGGGAGCAAATAACTCTAGCAGCGGGCGATAAGCGCAGAACTCGCAAAACACGCCGCCGGTCCACCTCTAACCATCTGCCCACCTGTTCCCGACACACAAATGTACGCATGCCATGGTTACTTATTCCATTTAAGTAGCATGATATCCCGCAAACTGCCTGTACTGATTCCTGTCCGGTACTCCTTGCGAACTCTAGTAGTGGTTTTGGAGAAGATCAGTCAGTCAGTATATTTTTATAGTAAATGACAGAAGTCAGGGAAACTCCATTTAAACCGTACAGGTGTGAATGAAAGGAGTGAAACTGCAAAAATCTTACTTGTAGTTTCAGTGCGCAGAGTGCATACAACTAATGGTGGGACCTAAATGTGAAAAAGGTGTGGCATTTGCAAAATAACGTCGAAAAAATCGTTCATTTCATTCGCACTGGGAAAATTTTCATCTGTACCCGAAGGGATCTGTTGAATTCATGTTAGTAGCACATTTTATTCTCCTTCGGAATCCGCAGTTACCGCCTTCGATGGCTTTGTCATTGTCTACTATCCAAAATGTCACGGTATTGGGGTGTTAATCAGTCGTTAGCACGTCTTGTGGGAAAGTACGTCTTCCTTTTTGGCGATTGTCCCACTAAAAACGACGAACGAGTGTGTTCTGCCTTACCACCTGGTCTTTGGCAGAAAATTACTTGATCTGGAATTTTAGCTAGTGTCTGTACTGTCAGTATGGTGAATCATATAACACTGGACATTTATTATGAAGGTTCTCAGGCTGATGTCCTAGCGACCCAATAATGAGGTACTAATAACTACCCTATTCTAATCCATCTTTGAAAGCACCTGTTGATAATTGTTGCTGAAATGAGCAGATAGGTGTCTGTGGAATTGGCCGGATCCTACGTCAATCTCGAAACGGTCGCTAGTTTCTCGGACAGAACAAGCGAAAGTGAGCCCCCGTCTCAGATCGAGTTAGTTCTTTTGTTAATGAGATGTCCTCAATAATCCGATGTATGGTCCTCGCCCGTGTTTCCAACTCTAAGTTCATGCATTTGTTCCTCTGAGAAATTGTTTTCTGGGAAAGTAATGAAGCCTGCGTTTTGTCTGCAGGAAAAAGCACTCTAGTTTTCGGTAGTTTGGGTCGCTCGCAGACCCAAGGCGCACGTGGGGCCAAAGGCCGGCAGAAAAAATGTCTGGTCATGTCTTATAGGTCCTTCGTCCAGCAAAACGAGTTACGCCACTATTTTTGGGTGACCGGTGATTTCTTACGTGGTCATTAGGCTACAGCAAGTTAGGCTTGTGTAGCGTCGGCCTAACTATCTTGCTCCAATTACAGCAAGTAGGCTATCTAATAAAAAGTCTATCGAAATTCCGAACTGTGTTTTCTACTGGTAAGGATTACTTAGTCAGGGTTGTAGTACTGATTATCGTGCGGCATAATCCCGGAATATTTCAGTCAAACCAGGACGCCGGCCTTTAAATGAGCTTCTTTTTCGCTACTTGTATAAACCACACTCGGCGAATTATAACTATTTAAGTTGAGTGATATTTTTCCGTTGTCTTTCGATGTCCTCATAAATTCATATATACTTGATAGAAAACACGCATAAAGACACTTCTCTACACTCATCTCACGTCTTAAAATTTGATGCGTGAAAAAATTGCAACTTAGATTTCCAAAAATAGTTTGTAGTAATGTCATTTTCAAGACCGTGAGGTGTCTATTCACAAAGAATTTTACCAGTACGTCTACTATTACTGCTTATTAAGTATACAACAGGGTCCGCAACCGTTGTAGAATATTATGAGCCCTATGTGACATCTTTTTAATAGCATAGAGAAATATATGATTTGTCTTACACGGGCAGTTTGCAGCATGGGTTTTGGAACCCTTATCGCAAATGTAGCCTCAGGTTGGATTTAGAACTATTCGGGAATTGGAAAACTTTTTTTTAAACTGAAGGATACCCGTTCTTTGGTATAAAATCCGAAGAAAACTTAATTCTCTACCAAATGAGTACATGACAGTAAAACGCATTATACTTTACAAACGTTACGAAGCTGGATGGAAAATGCGTGCTACTTAAGTAGTCATCTTCCGCCGAAAGTGGTTTACATAGGCGGTGGGAACAAAGCTCATTTAAAAGCCGGCATCCTGGCGTGACTGAAATATCGCGGAATTATGCCGCACAGTAATCAGTACTACAACTTCTCCTAAGTAATCCTTTCTAATTGAAAATACATTTCAGAATTTCGGTCAACATTTCGTGGCATCTGTCACTTACTGTACTAGATGCAGACAACGCCCAATGTACCACGTGTCCAAGGTCGTGAAATCTTTGCTGAAATCCTCCGGCGGACTTGTATTTAAAGCTGGCTACGTAAGTTGGTTTTCAACACTTACATGCAGGGTGCGCAATCTGAACACAGTCCACACACCGCGCCCGAATGATTTTCTGCCGTAATTTTTCTCGGTAGTATCATCAGGGTTTTCTACCCTATCTGATGGCATTAAGACTTTGAATCAACCCCAACCTCTACTAACTGCCATCTTCATGCCTTTGTGCACGCAGAACGCAGCTCCACCAACAAACCAGTCGGCTGCTGTGCCAAGACGAAAGTCCATTCTCCGCTCGAGAACTCTGAGTTTGAACGCTGACTCCTATGGATGTGATGACAGCGGTGGTTGTTATTCCGTTGCTAAGCAAAGCCGAGCATGTGGGACGCGTATCCGCGCCGACCCCGTCACTCTCTTTCATGCCTACAGACGTCAATGGCGCAACACCCTTGTGCCCGGTGAGAATGATCGTCGTTCCCTACGATGGTCCGTGAAGGCAGCCATGATGATACGTGAGATCCCTGTGCTACCCAGCTCCGGTCGTTCAATCAGGTCGCAGTTTCATGTTTATCCTGGCGTAGTCGAGTCCCGCACTCCGCGAAAGCGCATTTCCACCTCTTCTGCCCGCCAGGAGTCCCGATTCCTGGTACGTCTATGCTTCTTCCTATTCCTTCGGCTTGTTGTTTAAAAGTGCTTCTACACCCACATCAGCGTGAAAAATGTGTCAAAAGTTAACCAACTTGATCGCATGTCTTAACGCTTTTGGACGTGGTTGATATGAGGTATTGCATGGCTACTGAAATTGTGTTAGTAGGCCGTCTTTCTGACTACCAGTTGACTCGGAGGCTCAACTGGTCAGAGGCTCATTTAAACTACCACCCGGTCTGTTTCTGTGCAGGCGCAAACAACCCTTTTACTTTCAGGCAATATAAGCTGCATGCTTATACCGTTTAAATAATTGTCAGTCTTGTTTGTTGACAAGTCTCGTCCCTTAGCAAAACTACAAATGTATTGCCCCTCTCCCCCTTCCCCCAGTCCAACTAACTAAAGGGAACTATCTCTGCCTCTTCTTCACACTTCTGTTTGCTGATTTATGCTGTATATGCTGCTAGACCACCCACGGACAATAACTTTTATGTTTGGATAGGTCCGTAATTTTCTTGATTTTAAGTCAGTGATTATGTGGTTTTCGTTTTCTTATGCTAACCCACCGAAATCCAGTGAATTTGAGTAAAAGTGGCCAGGTGTTTTTTCTTTACAATATATATATATATATATGCACACACATATATTTGCATTTTCAAAACTGGATCTCAGGTTGAGTAACAGGTCGTAGTGGGCGAGGTGTGACTGCCCGAGACTGTGTTCGAGAACTACACCTTAAGATAGAATCGTTTGGCGCATGTGAACCCTCAACTGGGAATCCTCTTATCTCCTGTGGGAGCCTGCGGGCTTGGAGCTGCGCGCTCCGTCGCCAGTTGGTGTTCGTGTGGTCGGGTTTGCAGCTTGCATCCGATCAGCATAACGCAATCACAATTCATATCTCTGCAGACCAAGGAGGAGTTTTTGTAATAAGGTAGAGGATCCTTTGGTTTAGCCAAATGGCAACGAAGTGTGGGTTATGTTCGTCAGGCCATGATAATGATGTCTTCAATGACCTTTGACAGTTCGACCGTCGATTCCGACGATGTTCACCGTGTGCTCCACAGCAAGGTGCAGCAGGCACGGTGAGCTTGCGCGTGAATTAGTTTATAGTGGTAGTGGACTTGCGCAGCATCTACGGCACCCTCTCCTCCCCCACCTGGACCCGGTGTCAAGACACAGCCAAGAAGACCGGAGACGGTGGAGGGCGCAGGTGGCTGGCACGACCCGCACCTAGGCGTGCCAACACACCCCCTGGTCCTCAACATACACTTGACCAGGATTTTTCCCCAACAACACCCCGGCAGGGGTCAGAAGGACGCAAATGACTCGGCAGCCATGCCCACCACTTGTATACCCAGCGGGAGCACAAGCGCATTTACTGGCAGGGAACTGCCTGCGCATACCAGGCTGCGAGTGCCATGGTTTGCTGATACTGGCATAGCACACGCTTTCAGACCTTTTGACCTTGAACGACGTAAAGACTATTAAAAAAACCATTGACGCACACAGTGACACTGTACAATTTAACCCGTCGCCCTTAAGGCTTACAGGCGTCCTTTCTGCTCCTATTTCACTCTAAAAGTAGCCAAAACGTCAGTTCGTTCGGAATAGATCTCTGAGATTCGTTGAATGCTGTGATAAACTGTGTTTCTATACGTTGAATCTGTGTGTGAACGCAAGTGTTCCTCTTGTGCCTTCGACTTTTACTTTGATGTTCTTGCTTTCTTATTTAAAGTAATTAGACGCATTTTACCTGGCATGAATGTAACACAAGCATCCACAGCAGAATTTATTCGCACCAACAAATTTCGCGACAACCTATCAGCTGCAACCCGTCACTGCATAGTACAGATAACGAATAAGAATCATACAGCAATTGGAATTTTCACAGAAAAAAAAACAATGCAAAACAACATGGTTATTGTCTAGTGCACACGGTCTAATTAATGAAAATGGTAACTTGTAAACTTCATTTAGGAAGGAGAAAAATGGAAAGTTATCATGGAAAAAAGGGACTGAGGATTACCAGGGTTGACCACTTGGTCCATCTGTTTGCGTAGGTCGGGGCTCTCTCGCCGCATGTAGGCTGCCTCCAAGTAGCGCAATGCCCGAGTTGTTCGTGCTCGAACAAGTACTCGGAAGAATGTTTTGGGGTTGACGAAGTTAATCCTATCTGGGGGGCGTTTCATGAAAGAAGAACGAGGAACTCTATTGTCTGGCTTCAAGTCAACATACCTGGCTGCCAGTTGCCTTTACGTTTGCCCAATGTACTTGTACCCACAAGCGCATTTTAATTCATAAAGAGCATTTGAGTTGGCATGCTTTGGCGAAACATCCCTTTCCCTAGGGAGTTGGACTGCTGAATATGTGTTCCGCTGCATTGCATGTCCTTTCAGTGGTGTATCTCAACCGTCGTTTGATGATATTTGCAATGTTGTCACCCCTGACGGGTATGACGTGCAATGGCAAGGCATCTTTTGCCCGTAAAATTAAAAAATGTTTTTGTAGGATACGGTTCAAAAATAAGACAACCAAACAGACCCTTGGGAACTGTGGAATTTTTATTTTATGGAGCATGTCGTCTTCGTAAATCTTCAGCGATGTCATTCTTATCCTGAATTCTCCCACCCCCTGCCACTTTTATTTCAGCAGGAACACGCACCGTAATGGCGGATGACATCCACTTCACCGGCTCGCCCCACCGATCTTACACTTTCGCACTTCATCACGACGCACAGTTTTCTCTCCGTCTCTCTCTGTCCTCCCCCTCCCCTCTGCCTCAACCGCACTTTGTGACTCCCTCGGGCCTCCTTTGTGTTGTGGACACTTGCATTTGTTCCTCCTCAGTGCCCTCTGTTTTCCTGACTGTCAAGCTGCTGCTGTTGTTATCCACACCATTCTCCCTCCCTCCCCCCCCCACTGCCTTCTCGGTTTGTCTATAACGATTTGTTTTTTTTCAGCCTAATTTTACCTCACTTGTGTCACGTCCTGGTTGGAGAGTTGTTTGACACTACAGTATGACAAAGTTTGTCGATGTCTCTGCCACGGCGCCGCCTCATATTTTCCCCTCCTCCCCCCCTCTCCCTCCCTAGAAGCAGACACCTGTTGTCATCGGTCAGCGCGTGGTCGACTGATGAAGTCGAACAGGGCAGAAACATCCATTACGGTCTCCGTCGGCCGCCTGCGCTGTTAGTGGTGCCACGAAGCGCGCTCTGTGAGGAGATTCCCCCCCCCACCTACCCACCCTTTCCTCCCACACCGGGGCACGACCCTCCACGCGAGGTCTCCTGCTGATCCTCTGTTTCACCAAGTAGCACCAAAAGGTAATCGCAGAGAGCATGGAACCGCTTCCATACAGTCATCGGGGCTTGATTCGTGCGGCGGTTGTGGAGTAGCGGTCTGTGGGGCGTCCAAACGGGAGCTGTTACATTTGTGGACTTGACAGTCGAACCGAACGTATAGGTACAGTTGGTGGGCTAACTCATGAAATCTCAACAGAAATTCCGAAATTCGTTTCTGCTTCGAAAAGATTAATTAAGTAGGGTTGTAAAACAAATCATCATGCAGCATAATTCTGCAATACTTCAGTCACCCCAGGTCGCCGGCTTTCGAGCAAACTTCTTTTTGGCTGAATCCAAAAACCATACTGCGTAAAAAATGACTACTGATGTAGCATGCACTTTCTCATTGATCGTCGATGCCCTTAAATATTCAATTATATTTCCCAGAAAAAATGCATGAAAATATTCATTCCTTTGCTCATTCGGTAGAAAACTACGTCAACTTCTAAATTTATACTCGAACGAGGGACACAATTCGGTTTTAAAAAAGTTTCTAATTGTAAGACTTTTTAATACCGTGAGATTGCCGTCCATAAAACGTCATGTCTCTGCATTTGCTGATGTGGCTTGTAAAATTAACGATATGGCTCAAATCCACTGCCAAATTTTATGAACCCCACATGTTTCTCTCTTAATACTGTGGAGAAATGTATGGTTTTCCGCACGCGGAAATAAAACGGCTTGTAGTTTTGGAACCCAGAATTCAAGTTTAACGGCAGGTTGGGTTCAAAATTATTCGGGAATTGGAAAAGTTTTATAAAACTAAATTATACCCTTCCTTCGAGTGTAAAATTGAAAGAAGACGTAATTTCCTACCTAATGAACAAAAGGATGAATATTAGTATGCATGTTTTCTAGGAAATATAATTGAATATTTAAGGGCATCGAAAGTCAATTTAAAAAATGCATGCTACTTAAGGAGTCATTTTTTACGGAGTGGGGTTTTTGGATTCAGACAAAAAACAAGTTTGTTCGAAAGCCGGCGACCTGGGGTAACTGAGTTATTATATAATTATGCTGCCCGATGATTGGTTTACTGCACTTATTGTACTCTGATCCGACCTGGTGCCTAACTCCAACCTGTAACTCCTCAGAGCTGAACTGACTACAGCGACTAGACCGCGGTAACCATTTGAGCCGGCGAGAGGAATCAGATGGGAGATAGCCGGTGCGTCTCCTCAACGCGGTCGAAGTTGTTTGTGAAATTTGGTCCGCTAATAACAGTGTCTCGCATTCTTTTTTTAGCTCGCGCAGACGGGTTTAAATTTCCAGACTGACGACCTTCCTGTGCCGCCTTGGGTCATCCAACGACTCAGGCGGCTACAGTCACGAGTCCAGCAGCCACGTTGTGACACCCGGAGTCGGGAAATATATGTCCGGTCATCCGCCGCGCCTGTCTCCCATTACCACGTAGGTGCAGTAGGTGGGCAAACTCATGAAATGTCAACCGAAATTCCGAAATGCGTTTTCGTTTCGAAAAGCTTAATTGAGTAGATTTGTAAAACTAGTCAGCCTGCAACAGAATTCTATAATATTTCAGTTACGCCAGGGTGCCGGCTGTCGAACGATCTTCCTTCCTACTTCATGCAGAAATTACACTCTGTATAAAGGGACTACTTGAGTAACACGAATTTTTTCCATTGATTTTTGACGCCCCTAAATGTTCAATTACATTTCATGGAAACATGCATAAAAAGATTCA